GGTTCCTTTGACTGTAGTTTTATCTATTTATTTGCTGAACCTAAGGGATTAACAACTTTGAAGATTTCTAGGTATAGCAGCAGTTTAAGACATGATGGACTTTGGTAAAAATAATAATACTTTTAAATATCTTACCATCACTAATGTCACACAATACATCTGATGAAGACTCAGGTGACTGCTCACCTGTTAAACATTTCTGACACAAATCAGTTTCTAAAAAACATTTCAAAGTCTCTCTTAGAGGTACATAGTATGCAAACTGATTCTCACTTCGTCCTAAAAAAGATTTCTTGGGCTCCGCATAGTTGAACATTTGTTTGAACAACTGTGCTCTGGAGTATGTTGTCCTCACTGGCCCTTTATGACTTGGATGCCTTGACCGCCTCAAAAAACATCAGATAATGTTGTTTCAGTTTTTAGAAGTGTAGTGAGCTTATTCGGAGTATATGACTCACTCAACTCCTATATTTTTTTAAAATTTCCTCTTTAGCTGCTCCTGGTAAATTAACTGGTGTTTGTTTCACAGTAAAGCTAGCTAAAAGCTAGCTTCAACTTGCTAGCATTAGCATGAACTTTCCAGAAAACTTAAAGAGGACTGAAGGCAAAGCCTGTGACAGAGGAACGCTTTCAACGCGACAAGAAAACTGGCCAAGCGAACTATGGTGAAAGTTGATATAGTTAAATGTATTTCACATCTAATGATATATTATATTGAAGTAGAAGGTTGACAACAAATACTTCCTGATCATTATAACCCCAACCCGTTCACTTTTTTTCCCTTTCATTTACAATTACGTTTAATTCCAATCTTTAATGCAGCCCTTTTACACAACATTTTTTTATTTACTTGCTGTCATTTTTAATATGACACTCATATCAGCTTGTTCTTTGTGGCTTTAACCACTACATTTCTATTTGGGGGGTTTTCACCTCGCCAATCCATATTGATGATGATGATGATGAATATTCACAAAGGTACTCATCTTCTGAAGGTATTCCTTGGCAAAGGCTGTAAGTCTGCAGCCAGGGGTTAATTTTTGCTCTTCTTCCCAACACTGGTTTGTAGCCAAGGGCATGGGGTTTTTCAAGCTGCAATAAACCATGATATTTATTTGGCCGATATTATAATATTGACCAGCAATACTGATGACAGCATCCAAGTTAAAGCCATTCAGGGCGATCTTTCCCTAGTGGTGAGTTTAGCTTTTTGTACTTGTTGTGTTCGTATTCTTTTCTTAAAGGAAGTTTTTAAAAAGATTTCATTCACTTTAGCATTTGAAATTACAAGTTACAGCGTGCTGGATCTGGATGTGAACCAGTGGTCCAGTAGTCTTCATAACAAGGATGCGCCCAATAAGTGGGCTATACAGTTTTATACAACAACAAAAACAAATTTATTATTATGACTATCTTCTTCTGGGTAGCGACGTGGCAGTCCTGCCTTTTCCCCCTGTGGAACTTCTCCACTTGATCCACGTCTGAGTTCGTCTGCATCTGCTCCTTTCCTGGAAAAAAGACAGAGAAAGAAAAACACCTCCCTAGCCTAACCTGGATTATTTTTATTATTAAAAAAAAGAAAAAAATATCAGCCAAACTCTAACCCTACATATGATGTGTAAGCATGTTTGCAAAATCCCTTCTGATGCTCTACATGTTAGGCTCAATAAATCAATTAACGCTGAATTGATGCTTTTTGACCCTTAATACGTGGAGTATCAACTCTTTATGAGCACAATAGAGATGTGTATATAAAATCAAACAAAAACAGTTTTATTTGATCATTTTATTTTTAACAAATCCCTCCTTTCACATGTATTCTACGTGTGAAACACAAAAACATGTGTTTCGTTTAGCCTGCTGTGTGATACTCAGCCTTTCTCTCTTAACTGGAATGGAATCCTGTGCTCAAGTCAGTGCTAAATCAGCTGTGGGCCTCCTTCACCTAGTTACTGGGTCTGTACAGACCATCACCGCGTCCACTCAGAATAGGGGCAGGAAATTTCTTTCCTCCAAATACCAAAACAAATCTGACCTTCATATCAAATATCTTGAGGAATTTCACCATAAAGTAACATTTATGGTGTTGCTACACAGGTGTGAGGTAACCTCTCTCACATTGGGTAAGATTCCTTCACTTTGAAATCCTTGTCCAATGGCTTCCTCCCCCGTCTCCTATAGGATTCTCTCCACACCTCTGCGCGTGCACACCTTGCTCACTGAGAAATGTGGGATGTGATGCCGATGTCTTCTTTGCCCGACCGGCAGCTGGCTCTATTCGGGTCCGGTGATGAGCTGCCATTGAGGATTCATCCCTCGGAATTGCGATTCCAAGATCACCTGCCTGGACCTCCCCCTAGCAGATGAACATAGAGAGCCAGGAGAGCCGAAGAGAATGGGGAAAATTCTTCTATTTCAAGTGCACATGCTGTACATCGTGCAAGCAGCCTTTCCAAATTAGCTGGAGACCACGCATTTTTTGACTCAACAACAAATACTCAACACATTTCACACACTCACACCTGCTTTTTGGCCTGCACACCTCTTTCTCTAATTATTTATCAACAACCACTCCTTTTTCACCTCTGCTACCTCGCCTTTATTACATCCTCTTAGCTAGCACCAGTGACTGGACAAAACACCTACCGTGGGTGGCTGTAGCTCAGCAGGTCAGAAGGTAGCAGAGCAGGTCAGCCACTAATCAGAAGGTCGGTGGTTCGATCCCAGGCTGCCTCCTGGCTGCATGCCAAATATCCTTGGGCAAGATACTAACCCCATATTTGCCTACTGGTGGTGGTCAGAGGGCCCGGTGGCGCCTGTGTCCGGCAGCTGTGGCTACAATGTAGCTTGCCATCCCCAGTGTGTGAATGAATGGGTGAATCCTGAGTCCAAATCCTTAAGGACTCAAGTCAGGCCATTTGCAGGCCATTTACCCACTGCTTTTCTCATCCTTTCTTTTGTCATGGTCAATTTATTCGCCTGGACGCTTTGGCTAAACCAACTTTACAAAACAAGTTTCCCCGAAGAGCCCGCTTCTCAGCTTAGCTGCCTACATTTCAGGACCTAGCTAAGGACGGTACTTACCCACACAAACACATTTAACTTACCGAAAAAAAGCCATGGGGCTTCGGGTCCGTCTGTGGGGTAGTCCACTTTACTAAAGAACACCTCAGGCTGTCACTATGAAACAGCTGGTCGTGATTTTGTAACGTAAACGCTGGACCTCCTCTCAGCGTGCGGCTCCATCTGCCCTTCCCGAACAGAGATAAGCAAGTTTCTCCGTGACTTCAGCTGCCAGTCAAAGCTGTCATGATGACGTTTCACCCCAATTTAACAGCTTTGTGTTACTAATTAGAATCAAACTTATAAGAAAGGAGACCCAATGAACATAAATCAGCCTGATGAGAACTACTGATAATGAAAGAAAGCATCTTTGGAAAAAAATGATCTGAGGAGATTTTTTTTTCTAATTTTAGCCTGACCCCAGTCCCATCCGCTAACATAGAGGAGGGTTTTTTTTATGACCTATACTGCAGCCAAGACACTAGGCGGCGATAGAGATGTTTTGGCTTCATTTTTGGGGAGCATGTTTCCTCACAGTCAGACGCAACAGCTCAGTCACCTGATGCATTGTCTCCAAAATGTACATATAAATGAGACTTTTCAAAGAAACTGAATGTTACAGCTTTTGTAATACATTCTTCGACTGCTTTTGACCTTACGGACTACATCCCATTATTATTTGCTTAACATTATTTGTGTGGCATTTCATTTTTATTCATTTTAATTTCAGCAGGTGGTATCACAACCACTTTTCAGTCGCTTTTCCAAAACAATGATCTTTATTTTGTTATTTTCCTTACACTTAATCAAAGTATTAGTAAGAACAGTCACAGCATTCAGAGTGGATGGTTCATTTTATTTGACATTCAGTTTTTGTAAAATAACCAAGGCAATGCCAGGCATAAAGTCCAAAAACCAACATGAAGCATTTTAACAGAAAAGAAATGGCACTGAGAGCCACATTAAACAGAGCAGGTCCTAAAGCTGTTTTTGGATAAACTCAATGGACAAAAACAATTCATCTTAAACAAGAATCTGCAGGGAGTGTCAGGGAGAGCAGCCCCACAAGTACAATTCATCTCTACACATCTGTCAGTCAGAGGCAACAGTATCGAAGAGCAGATTTAAGAACGCATTCGGCAAATACAGTAAAACGTCTTTACAGAGCTCTCACTCCGTGGCAGCTATAGATTCCATTTCTGTATTTGCTCACACTCGAAAAATTATGATTTTTACAAAGAATTGTGAAAAGTGGAAACAATGAAACATCTGGATATCAGATGCAAGGCTAACTTTGCTGTCACACTGGTCAAAAATAGTTTTCTCTCTCTGGGATTTTAGTCACATTCAGTAAAGATCATCAAATATGAAAGTCTAACAGCAGTACTAGTTAAGTAGACAAAATACATCCTGAAATTATGATTGTAGAGCAAGCCAATTAGGAGCAACTAAAAAAATAAAGATTAAAAAAAAAAAGAAAAAAAAAAAAGAGATATTCAGGTTAACTTATTGTACTTGTATGTATGTGTGACTTTACAATCTCAAAAGGCATTACGGCCCCTTAGAGGAGCTTAACTGTAAAATGAATCCTGCTCAGTGTGAGGAGCACCAGTGATGGCTAAGACATTTGTTGGCACATTACCACAGTCACTGATGCGTATTTTAAGTCAATTCAGAAAAAAATGTAGAAAGAAAAACAAATCACAGGATGTAAATAATGCGTTAAAGATTGCATTTTTTTTTTTTAAAGCTTCACTGTCTGCATGTACTTTATATTAATCAGATGAATATTGAGCACAACACTGTGCTTATTACGTGCTAATAATCTGATGTCAAACTGTGCCAGACAGTATGAAAAAATGAAGCCACAGTTCGTAGCCTGAAGAGAGAAACTGCAACTTCTCCAACGTGGAGTAATAACCGAGCAAATACTTGAGGAATCAACAGCTGACAAGCATCTCATATTCATCATTTAATACTGAAATGCAAAATTCACATACAGCTGCCACTGACTGTTATCGCCCTCGTGGGGCGTCACGTCACATTTCATCTTACAGGTGATCTCAATGCAGGACGCAGTGGAAATGCGTCATGGCAAAAACCAAGTGTGTGTTTTAAACAGCTCAATTCATTAAAACCTTTTCAAGTGCTGTATTTAAGTTAAAAAAAAATCAACGTTGAAGGAATGGTGTTGGTAATAAAATAAGTTGTGTACAGAAAAGTCCTTAGGTTCACCTTTCAGAAGAACATGTGCAAAATACATCAAACTCTACATTTCATCTCTTTAAAAAAATAAACACAAAAAGTCAAAACAGCGTTGGTCAGGTTTGATCCTACACTGATCGTGTATTCATTCTCAACCCTGCAGTCCACGCTTCCTAATGTCAAGAATATGGTCATTCATACTAATAAGACCTTTAATAATAGTGCTAGTAAGTAATACTGCTGAGCGCTAATTAATGCGTCTCCTGTCCGTCTGCACCATGCTGATCCCACTCCTAACAGTAGAGGGCACCAGAGTGATCACACCAGCTTAAAAGATGCATCATATAGACTGGAGAAGCAGCAACACTGACTGGTCTCAAAGATCAAAGGCTTGATTTCCCAGCAGCTTCTTATCCAAAAATTCTCTTTGCTCTCAGGCACGTGAAGAAACAAAGAAAGGAAACTTTGGAGAAACCAAGCCCTCGTCTTACTTATATATATATATATGTAAGTATATATATATTTATCAACACTCCTCTGGTTTAATATAGATTCCGCACAGAGCAACATTTATGTACATTACACACAAACAGATTGGGCCGTTTCCTCGTACACAGACATCAGAGGGTATTTGGTTGCCGACATCCACAGAACAGCTTTGGAGCATTGCTAGTAAAAAATGACATTAGTGCAAATATAACCCCAAAAGAAAAAAAAGGTAGAAAAAAAAAACTTGGTAGCAAGGTTATAGCACATTGGGGACAAACAAATTCTGTGGTCAGAGTGGCAGCAAGGTCTACATATAAGCGTGCATCAGGACTTGCCATCCTCAAGTTTTCAGTCTTTCACACTCATTTCAAAGCATATTTCTTCCTCGCCGTGCTTCATCTGCTAAATGCAGTAGCCAAAAGAAAGAGTGTGTTTTTGTGAAAAAAAGAAGAAAAAAAGAAGCTATGGCTCAATTTGCTGGTATCAACAATTTATGGAGTAAACTGACTGACGAGCAGGAAAACCCTAATGTCTTAGAAAATACAGGGTCTCTAATGTAACTGGATGAAAGGAGCCGATTGGCTCCTGCCATCAGCGATCAACAATGTGAATGATAGGTTGATCTGTTAGTGAGTTAAGCTTGCAACGGTAAGCGCGAGTGAGAACCATAAAATAGAGCTAATGAGGGCAAAATCCGAGCTCCTTATCAACTCTGTGGACTAATTTATACCTCGTCTCTCCATCTTCCCCTTAGTCCATTTGCAGCGTGTGGTATCCAATAAAGCAGAAATGTAAAAATGACCTTAAAAATAAAGTTGCTTTAACAGTAATACAAAAGTTTGGCGATGAGGAATAGAACTGTTTTTTTGCTGGGACCAGCCAAACAAGTCTGAATCAGATATTGAAGTAGTATAAAAGCAAAAGCTTGACACATGTAAGTTATTCAATGTGAACCAAAAGTTCACACTGCACCCCTCAGCTAGACCATACCATGTGTCCTCTGCTTAGCACCAGGCTTTAGGTCATGCGGCGACCTCAATAAACAACATTCAGTCTGCTAACGCTCAGTATTCACTAAATCACAACACTACTGACACCCAGCAGTGAAAAACAAAAAATGTGGAGAATTTCTAGACGTTATGAAATGTTAAGACTTTGTCACGGTATAAAATGCAACCATCAGTAATCGATAGTCTGATCAATTTTTCGATAAATCGTGGCACCCAAACACTATGAAATGTACAGCAGTGAAAGTTCAAGCTGTACAAACAAAGGCAGGAGCAACCATCGCCCTAAATGTCGGGCATCAAAAGGTAAGGGGTAAAAGCATGATTGTAGAGGGAAAAAAAGAAAAAGGCCGTGATGGAAATCAGATTTTCACATTTTCTGGACATGGTGTAAAACTCCCAATTCATTCTGAGATGAGATTACTGCATCCTGTTTTTTGTATTAAATTTGAATCCCTGTGAAAGAACATGTGGAAAACAACTGCACCTGTGATGATATCACTGCTGGCATGGGTTACACCTATCATGGGAAACCTTTCACTGCTCCAAGTACTAACATTTTATAAAGCTGCAATCATTGTCGTCTCTTTTTTTTTTTTTTAATACCGAGTGATGAATTTCTGCTTAGAGATTGTTTTAGATCTTTTGAAACATAATATGGATATGAAGGAGTTGGACATGATGGGAGAGCCAACAGCAAACAGTTGGACAAGTACAATAGGGGACTATTTAGATTGTGTGATTATATATGCATGCATGCATGTATGTTGTGTGTGTGTTAAAATGGAGCTCAGGGGTTGAATGGAGGAGGGGGTGGAGGACGAGGAGGAGGTTCCACTGAAAGGGCAGTTGGTGGGTTAGATTGTGATGATGGACCAGTAGAGTTTTCCTGGCTGTCCACAAGGGAGACTGATTTTAGCTGAGGGAGGGATTCGGGTTCAGCAGGGTTCGCCTCTGCTTGGGTCAGTACCTGTGACGTTGGTTGGTGAAAGGTGGAGACAGAATGGCAGAGAGATGCAGGAGCGTCAGGTGTGTCTGATGTGCAAGAGGTAGAGAAAGAAGATGCAGAAGGGTGATCTGCAGGGGACTGGTGCGGCACAGAATCAGTTGCAAGAGGAGAAGAAGAACAAGACGAAGATGATAATGGAGGGTTGACGATGTGAGCAGACTGCATGCCAGTGGGGGAGGTGGAAGAGGAGGCTTCCCCAGCTGATGTGGTAGTTTCATTATCTCCCTCCTGCTCTACTGACGCTTCCTCTTTCCTATCATCCGGTAGAGTGCTGTGGTCCTCCTCCTGCTTGTTGCCTGGGGCTTCTTCCTGTCCTGCAGGGTTCTGATTGGCTGCAGGTGTATCTTGGGTAGCTCCGCCATTAGTTGGTGATTGGCTCTTGAGTTGTGAATGACAGAGAGGGCACGTTTCCTGGACATACAGCCATTTCTTCAGACAGCCAGCGTGGAAGAAATGACTGCACGGAGTGATCACAGCACTGGTCATGTCCTGGAACAAATCAAATTTCACATTAGCCTACCTTTTAAAGCCGCAGATTAACTCTCTCATGCATCCTCTTTATATAAACATAAAAAAAGTTCATACCTGGAAGCAGATAGCACAGATGTCATTATACTGCTGCAGCTGTGTATTGCTAGCTGTGGGGAGGCTTTTTATCTTGTTTACAGCATCTCTCCTGAGCAGGAAGCTCTGCCAGCCCAGCTGGGCTCTGAGCCAGACATTATAGTACGAGTGGACCAAGATGATGGTGCTTCCCATCACACTCCACTCGCCAAATACAGTCTCTGATACACCATAGCACACCACGCACACCGCAACCTGGCGAGGGAACAAATCACTGACAGTGAGGCAGAGACCGTGCTGATGCATTAGATGACAGTGTCTGTTTACAGTCAGAAGGCACAACTTAGCAAAGAGTTGGTGTATGTGTGTGTGACACACCAGAAACTCCAGCAATCTGTAGGTCCCATTTACACAATATATGACTTCATCCATGTTCTCCACTGGAGCTTTACGAAACTCCTCCACCATGAAGAGAACATAGATCAACAGAGTGCCAAGGACCTGGCGGTACAGTGTTTCAGAGTTATTATGGAATTAAAAAACAAGCAAATATAAATGTTTAATTAGTATTAGGCTCAACTGTTTGGGTAGAGCAAGTTTAAACTATTTAATTAAATGTTTTTGCACACTGCGATGCGGTTGTATGTTACCTGGAGAGAGGTGAGGATTGAGGAGGAGATGATGATGAGAAGCCAGAAGTCCATGTGGAAGAACTGGCAGATCATATAAGCCATGTACGCTGGAAAGATCAGCAGGAAGAGACAGAGAGAAACTGCACGGAAGTGCTTCCACAAACTCCTACGGGACAGGCAGCAAAACGAGCATATGAGAAAGCAGTCAGGTTGATAGCAGGCTTTGCATACACACATTGAGTCAGATTACATTTATTGATGTCAAAAAGACTAACTGCCTGTTTAGGTAGGAATGAAGAAAGAAGGACCGTACACTGTAGTGTTACTTAATTTATGATGTTAGCATGAGTTGTACTGATGACCACAGATAATGAATACTGTGATAATTAACTAACTGCCCATAGTTATTAATAGTTGTTTATGATCAGTAAAAAATAAAACAAACAGTGGGACACAGAGTTTTCTTAAAAATAAACACATAAAAAAAAAGTCTTTGGTATATTCTCTTACTTGTCTCTAGATGCTCCCAGGGCTAGGACTATAGGATCTGCTATCTCCAGCATGGACTGCAGGATGGAAGCAACAACAATAAAGAGGATGATAGAGAGAAGGAAGGCTCTGTGGATGACCTGCAGCTCAATGAGGCCAGTTTGGACCGCAAGGATTAGCAAGGTGATACCTTCAGTCATCCCCCTGCACAGAGAGGAAACAAATTAGAGTTAACACACCACACAATTATATGCCTTGGCTTTGCACTCAAGTTGGAGATCATATACACGTTTATCCAGACTTGACTTTTGGGTATACAATGTCAATTATTTTATCCTATTGGACAGTTGTGTGAAATGCAGACATCCTTAAAGAATAGTTCCAGATATATGTGTTTCCACACGAATGGGATAAATAGTCAGAAAACATATTGCCTCCGGTCATGATGGTTACTGGGACAGAGAGGCTAAAACAGACTAAACTAATTAAAAGAAACATACCAGAAGACATCAAGAAAATAAAAACCTTGCTGACCTGTGCATGGTGTTGTCATTCATGAAGGCTCTGTAGCCCTGCAGGTAGAACTTGCACAGTGTAAGAACGCCCAGCGCAATGAAAGAAACTGTGAAAACCAGACCCAGCAGAGAGTACGGTGTACTACAGCATTCTGCGATACTGGAGAAAGGAGGAGCAAATTACTTAGAGAACATGACAAAAAAAACAACAACAACTTTCTAAACAATTTTAAATATTTAGATCACGTCCTTAAAGTTCTGATAAGTATCTCAGTCGTCTGCTTTAACTTAATTCTGTCCACCAGTGCAAAACATGGGTTATTTAGCACTGTGACAAATGGATCTAACACATCTTTTAGAATTTCCTCTTGACACATTTCTGCAAAATTATCTCAAAATCTAAAAACTTGCTTTACTCAAACTCTGCAGACTGACTTGCTTTGCAATCTAATGTCTCTGTAATTGCAAAAAGCGTCTGGATGGTTACTGGACACTTTTCAGACGCTTTTCTTTGCAAGCTCCTTTGACTACGATGACCTGGATGACTGAGAACCTTCACAGACATACCTGCCCTTCAATGATACAAGGCACTAAATAGACAAACACCTTCTAAAGGGTCAGTGACGAAAAATGTAAAGTGTCTTGCAGCCTGATTTATGGTCTTACCTTGTAAGAAAAAGGAAAAGCAGCCTCTCTCTGGAGGTAGGCTGGTCTCTTGTGCTGAAGTAGGAGTATATCTGCAGAGCAAACAGCACGAGCCAAAAACACATGAAGAGAACTGGAAGGACCAGCTGGTTCCACAGGGACATTCCCAAAGCAAGAAGCCCGTACACTTCTACCACCTGCAGGACAGAAAAAGACCGAAATAAAGAATACCTTTGATACCATCTACAGGAAAATATCTCAGAACTGAAATCCTGTCACAGAAACTGAAAAGCTTGCAAAATCAGCCCACAATAAATACCTGAGCCAGCTCTCTGTAGGCAGTCTTGGCCAGGTTATATGGTACCAGCAAGTTAGACGCCAGGAAGTAAATGACCTCCAGGCCTGTGAAGATCATTGAGAACTTATTGATGAAGACGATGGTCTCGAGTGGGACCAGACACAGTCTAGCCACTAGAGGGAGGAGGTGAGCAGAGAACAGCCAAATCCTCTTGGTTTGCATCACACAGGAACAAAGTGTACAAACCACCAGCTGACCTGAAAGAAGACACACATACACACATATATAAAACAAAGTTGAATAAATGACTAAAGACACTATTATCACTCTGATTTTAAAACGGTTTTTGTGATGTGGTACTTATCATTTTCGTGTAACTGACAATTAAAAGAAAATTTATCAGAATATTTATAGCTCTCCTAGAGTGGTGAAAATGTGTCACACACCAAAAAGCAACAAACATTTAAAAGAGAAGAGAAGATGCTTTAATCTCACATTGCTCCTTACAGTAGCATATTTTTGTCACTGTACTCATCTTATTTTTGCTTTCTCAGGCTTTCACTACGCAGTAAAAGCAGCACTCTGCGGTCTATTTATAGCACAGGAGACTCCATCTATACTCTCTAGTAAGTTGAAACTAGGTCCTAAAAACACAGACTCTACAGCATTTTCTATTTAGAAAATGATTAATTTTTACATAATTAAGCATATCAGCAACAGACATAATGAAAAACTACAAGAGGCTGTTCTTTTTGTTTTCCCACCCAGAGGAAGACTGAAGCACATACGTATGTGAGCACTTCTTAATTCTGGAATTGGTACAAATTAGGTCCCTTCATAATCCCATTAATGTGGATGCCGTGGCATTAGGTATTCATATAATTAATCAAAGTGCTCACATGGACATGAGAGCAATGCTAAATATGTACATATGTGCAGCCAAGTATTTTATTTCCACTTTTTCTGTTAAAAAGACAAAAACAAGGTGTGCTCATTCCTGTTACACAAAAATGTCTGAAGGAAAAGACTCAAGTGTCTGCTTTTCTTTTACCAGTACCTGTATGCATCTTCTTAGCAACTTTGCACAGTCTACTATAGTCCATGAATGTTTACTGACCCAGGTTACACAAATTCAATGAAAATCTCAATTTACTGCCCCATGCGGGGTCTAAAAACACAATCCCGAAATGAAGACTGTTTTCTTTTGGATGAAATTCACACAGACCCATGGCAA